AGTGATAGTTCGCATTTACGTGAAGACATGACTTCTCACAACAAAATCCACATGTGAATTGGAGTAGACAGCGCGTACTATGGCATCACAAAAAGTGCTTTTGAGGCTAATCCAGTTTATTATTTTGGAAAAACTGTTGAGCATACAACTCCAAAAATTGTTTGAAGATTTATTTTAATTTTCTCAACGGGAACTATAAATAATTAAGTGAAAGACTTAAAAGTTATGATTTAATTTTGGCCTACTGATGTGCATTGGTTTTGAACAAACAATCTTAGTGAAGGACACGAATGAATTGACTAATTTAGAAAATTTATTCAGTATAAAGATGTGGTAAGCAGATAAGTTTTATTTTGAAAAGATACCAAGTTAAAAAATTATATCCTCGAAATTTTCCGTCACGTTTACGTGTGAAAGTATGAAATAAATTTACCCAGTTGAAATTAGAAATGGCACGGAACTTCTTGGAATGAAAAAAACTATTTCGACAGCTTCAAGCACGATATATCGTTCGAATCAGTCACTAGATTACATCTTTCACTTCAGAAAGAATCAATAAAACAAGTATTAAGAAACTCTACTTACACATTTGTAAGTAGAGTGTACTAAAACTTGTTATTAAATCATTGTTTTATGAACAAGTCTAGGAATTATATCGAGTTTGTATCGGATTGCTACAAGAATAAGCCTTAACTTATCCTCAGTAACGTCCATGACAAGATCCATTAGTATGGGAGAGGCTTCAGAAGTTAATTAGGCTATCAAAACTATGAGGAGGAAGCAGATGTGTCAGTACATGGAGCTTAGTCATCAAGTACAATTCTGGCTACTCAGATCAAACAGCACTCACAACCGCACACACCCCCTAATGGGATTAGCGGCACAGCCGCACTTGTTGGCTTCGGGATGACTAACACGTCGCACGACCGGAAAGTTCTAGGCACACTAAGGTTTCAGTTCAGCCATGTTGTCTTTTCTCATGAGGTTGGACTTTTGAATATCATATTTAAATCATTTGATTCAAAAGTGTTTGCTCTATAAAATAATACCACTTCAACAAAAAACGAATAAATTTTAACTGTGAAAGGTAATGGAAATCAATTAGCCTAGGGTCCAAAATATAATAACAAGGTAGGATTGAAAAGTTAATCTTAACTTGCTTTATTTCATTTTGTGGGTTTGACCTATATATCCATAAACCACAATGCAAATTTTATCAATCCCCCCCCCCGGACTATTAAGCCAATTGTTAACTTCGATGTTGAATGCTTATTCATTGGATTATTAATGGAGCTAATCTGTCTAATTACCTCAAACCTGTTTTTTCTACCATTGGTTTGAAAGACAAAATGATCTTATGAAATGTTCAATAGCCTATCGTCTTACCATTGAAGAGAAATAATAGCGATGACTTTCAAGCTAAGAGTCGTTCATAAAATATTTTGCTATTTAATTATCGTCATTTATCTTCTTGGGCCGAGGTGGTGTTATTGCACTTAACTACCCATTTAGCAAGGAAATTCATGATGAACTCATTAAAATTTCAAACATCAAGTCTTTAGAAATATTATTAGGTAAAATATTCCGGTAGTGTCAAAATTTTAAATGCAGAATCTATCTGGATATTACATACATGAAGCTTTTCCGACTAGAAACTGTGGATTTACCATCCCTTTGTTAGTAGCTTTTAACAACTTCATCAACTAACCAAATTTTCCGGACGAAATTCGATTTGTTGCGATGCCTCAATAACCTTAAAATCTTTAAAACTGCTAGACGCGCCTGCCTTCCATTTTTTGCAATTGGCATAAGAGAAGGGAATATCAAAATAATTCTCATTCACCCATTTCATTTATTCCGAAATTCTTAATATAATACATAACTAATAACACTGTTTAAACAGTTATGCTTTTGTTAGAAGGGCATATAATTCCAATGAGCTAACAAATTATAAAAAATTAAAAATATATTATTTTATGTTACTGTAATAATTAAACTAATTATAGCTCAAATAATTTTATCATGCCTTATAAACCATTCAGTTCATGGTATCTTTTGAGGATAATAAACCATCTTCAAGTGATCCAGCTGATTTCATTTATACGGTCAATGCGGCCTCGGATCATATAATTTTAGAACCAATATATGTATATATACCTATTATATAAGTACCTGACATGCATTTATATCTTACCCCCTTAGTCAATATGTCATGTGCATCCATAAGATAGTTATAATCCATTCCATCTCAACGGAAAAGTTAAATTTGTGATTACTATATCATTATGTATCAAAATCATGAATTTAATAATAGCACAAGTTCGTGCAAATAGCAAGATATTGCTTCAAAAAATGAAGCTTAGTATACTTCTTCATATGAAAAATTTATTTATTTCAAATGACAGGCGTTTTGATAGTTATCATTAGCCCTTTAGGTGACTTCGGGCTTCACAGAGGGAAGGAACGTCAATTTAACAGAAAGTCGATGGGTGGGGAACAGAAGAGTGGTTTACAGTTGTAAAAGAGTCCAGAAATCGGGGTGGGGAACAGAAGAGTGGTTTACAGTTGTAAAAGAGATAGACACCGAGGCAGAGAAAAGGTAAAATGATTACTGTAAAAGTGGTAGAATATGGCATACAGTGGGATTATGGTAGCTTGAAGTGAGAAGTCAACTGCCGGTTAATAGACCTTTTTGCCGTATGAGTATACGTTGCCCAGGGCGTACCACGTGGAGGTAAGTCTATCGCACACCCCTCATATGAAATATAAATTGTAGCGGATCGCAACACACAAATCTTTAATAATGTCCATGAAAAAAAAACTCATAAAGTGGAATGGCTCCCGATATTGAATAAGCAGTGGTTTAATGTGGAATATATTTATTTGAGTTGCGTTTTTTGTGATATGTCTCTCTTATATGTGAAGTAACGAAGAGCTTAGTCATTAATTTCTATTTCAGGTGTGTCGACAGGGCAATGACGATTAGTTACTAATTAGACAGGAGGTTTCTGCTGTCGTGACCTCATTACTGTACTAAAATGTTCAGCATCACGACCGTACATCCCAGAATGTTCGATTGCACGAGATGTTAAAGAATGCTCGAGATTGAGTAGTTTAGTCATTTTAATATTGCGCACTCCATAAGCTTTCATATGCCCATGTATTAGATTTTGACGAAATGATTACTTCCCAATTGAATTATTCGATAAGAAGTAAAAAATATGTAATAGATTATTCACATAAAATGCTTTCATATATGTATAATAGGATCGTAGTTATTTTCGAAATTACCAAGGTAATTTTAATATGATTGAAATAATCTTGTAGATAACATGAAAATACTCTTGGGTATGTTGAAATATGTTGTCTATTAAAAAAGTAAACACTTAATAGAAATCACTCTCCATTATTTTTTTCGAATTCCATCTGATTGGGAATCAATCAATGAAAGTTTATAATAATAAGAAATTATAATAGGCTAAAAAAATGTTAAAAAATAGACATTAATAACTGCAATAAGCACGCATACTTATATGCTTTCATTCCCAATTTATTAGAAATTAAGAAAATGCTAATATAATTAAAAGTTTCACGGCATTACATAAATGATAAATTTTATAAAATTCACATCTAATTTTAAAATGTAATAAGATCTTAAAATAAGTATCCTAATACTTTGCCTTATTATGCTTCAACCAATTAAAATATCATAGAAAATATCAAAAATAAATAATAAAGATAGATATAAAACTATAAAAATTATAAACAGGCATATAAGATTTTACTGAAATTATAGGACGACGTTTTTAAGATATTAGAAATAGCGCAGTTTTAGTTGTTGCACAATTACAAGGCGCGTCACTTTCATCTGTGGTTTGCCGTTCATCATGTACGTTAATTGCAGATATGTACCTTGGTACTCTATTTTTGAATATCGTTTTGTTTTGTCTAAATTAAAATCTTCAAAATCGGACGATTTGTTTGAGGCTCTAACTTATATGCATGTGTGGTTCTGCCGAGTTGCACCTTCCAAGCTGCCACGTGCAATTTTGAGTACCTATGAATTGCTTTTTGCCAAGCTCCATAAGTCCAGCCAAGCGCTCGCTAATGCCATCATGCGATTCGTCAGCCTTGTATCCAGTGAAATGCAGGATAAAAACCGCAGTAGTTTTGCAATCCCCATTTCTTCGCTGGCTGCGGATGCTTGTCTGCCCGCATGGATGGCTGATATGCGGAATGAAATAGCACACGGCGTTATGCCCTCGGAAGATTCTCTGACCAAGGCTTATGAAATAGCAATGCAATGGCTACTCACTTTTTGGGAATCAAATGTCGAGATTCCTAATTTCAATTTTGATCTTAGTCAAATCAACGAAGCTAAGTGGACTTCATTAGCGTTAGTGGATGAGTTCCTATCATGTCCCAAACGACATATTCCAGTTACTAAAGCATATGCAAGGTACTTGGTTAACATATCTGGAAGCGGATGTCGTGGTGTATCGAATACTGAGCTTGGGGCAGTCTTGAAACTGTTTCAAAAGTTTGATAGGGTTAACAACCTTATCCATGCTATATACGCTTTGTTACCTTCAGAAGGGGCAATCTTTTGGGCAAACAATTGGCTTGAAGCCTTCAATGCGCTTTACGAATCTCGAGATCATGAACTTCATCAGTTCTACTCTATGCATGATTTGTCGAAATTCCCTTGGAGACACTGTCTAGAATTGGCTACATTAGCTTCCTGTCCGAAAGGCTTTAATATATTGTTATTCTTGCGGTTGTTCCAGCCTAACATTCCGCCAGAGCTTAAATCCAATCTTCTTAGTATTTGTTCACCTTGTGGTTCAGCTCTTTCTCCTACTGATTTCGTAAAGCCCAATCAAACTCTGTCGCGGTGGTCTCTTGATGGTAGCGAGCGCTGGTGGCGTGTGCCTTTAGGAGCGAGGCTATGCAGTAGTATGATTACATTGTTCTAATCGAATCTTGTTTTCTTTTAGAAAATGCCGAAACAAATCGCGAACATCAAGGACTTCCTTCTCAAGACTCATCGATCCGATGCCAAGTGTAAGTTAAATCCGATCCATTTGTTATAACTTATTGTTTTAGCGGTCAAGATCAAGACCAACAGGGACAATGTCAAGTTCAAGATTAGGTGCAGCCGTTACTTGTACACCTTGGTTGTAAATGAGAAAGAGAAAGTGGAAAAAATTAAGAAGGCTCTTCCTCCAAGTAGGTATTTATTTAACTAATCATACATTCTCTTAGATCTCACGATCAAGGAGATCGGCAAGTAAATGTACATTGGCGAAATAAATTTCGGAATATTTGTAACCTTTGTCTTTGAACTTTTGTATTTCTGAGTATTGGTTATAGGATGTTTTCTAAGTAATGCGTATTATTTGTACTGCTCGTCGCTTCTTTGCAGAGGTATTAGTGTGAGATGATCTGGGGATGTTGTGTAATTGGTTTAGATTTAGTGTTATGTTCCTGATCCACCTGTCACCCGCAAAAATTTTTCATTGTCTGTTAGGTTTTTAGGGTTATAAGTGAAGTCTCCTGGTAAATGTTTTTGGATATAATGCAATCTGCTTTGACAGCAAGTATGGGAAAGGTTGTCATATGTGGAACATTGAGTACAGTATTTACTGAATTTCATGATTTTGTTTTTGAGAAGGCGCTAACTGGTTTTCTTAGTAAGTTAAGTAGTGATTTCTAGGGTGTTGGCGGGGGAATGTCAGTGGGGCAGACTGGCGGCTATAGTGAATCTGTAAATCAGGATTTCTCCCTCGACCTTGTGGCTTTCATTGTTACTCCTCTCTGTAAAACCCGATGCTAACTTAGGGGCTGTTGATAACCATCATAATGCATGTCATTTGATATTAATAATGTTATACTTTAAAGAAAATAAGTGATGTTGTGGGATATCTTAGATGACAACTGACTGTAAGCAAAGGCACATGGTACATGCTATCTGAAAGACTTAAAATATACAAAAAGTGGAAGAAGAAATGAGGGGGGGGGGCTGGTCAGAGGTGGTCTGTGTACATAGGGTGACTTGTTGATGCCGTCGGTACGTCTGTTTCAGTCTTATTCGATAGGTTCGAATTCACACGAGCTGCTATCATTGGTCTTGAGACATCACGGGGTAAATCATTGCCTGTTCCTAGCACTGCGTCCGCAGTGTAAGTAACCGCTTGCCCGACGAAATTCCCAAGTCTACAGAAAAACGAACAATACTTAGTAAATCAGTAGCGTCTACTGAAATAGTATTAAGTAGCATGTGTTCATTCCAATGCCCACATTGTTAAATGAACCTTAAAATGGTTTTACTGCAGTTGTAAAAACATTTTTTGGATGTCTAAACGAATAAATGGCTTTGGTTGGATTGTTATTTTATTTTAGCAAGCTTATTCTTTAATTCCTAACCTGCTGGTAGTAAGCCTCGCTTATCGTAAATAGTGCGTCATGGTGGAAGCCCATTTCATGCGTGTTCCATGAACTTCCAATCTACCCTATGCATTCTGCTGAAGCGGAATTATATAGAGCTCAAAAGGAAACACATTGACTAATTTTACCAAATAATTGACAGCATTTCATGGTGTAACGTGTTCATTCCCGTTTGATGCAACCAAGTAATGAATGAGCATTTCATCAAAAGATTTGTAACTTAACACCGCTTGATCGATGCCTCCTCACATCATCACAATTCACTCAAGGTGAAAGAAAGAAGAACTACCATTTTATTGACGCAAATCCATGAATATACGCCAATGATGTCGAGAGGGGGGGGGGGGTTCAGGTCACCATTCTAATTGATCACTTCTTTACTTAACACAGCTGCAAATTAGGGCATTCATGTGATTATAATCAGCGGCAACACAAGAATGGGGACCTGGGAGGGGGGTCGTATGCATTAATTGTAGCGTGGCAGAAATTGTGGAAGAGTCTTAGAGACAACACATTACACGTAATTTAATAAGTGGCTTTTAATTACAGCAAAACTCCTACTGTTATGGCAAAATTGATGCAGACTTTAAGCCGTAGAAACAGACCCGTTCTGTTAAGCAATCTTAGTCTTCACAACACATCAAAGATGGAAATGGAGGCACGTGAAAGGGCTTAGAGCAACATTTAGAGGGTGAAATTGGCGACTTTGCATAAAAATATGCCTACACGTAACATCTCCTGACTCATATTAGTGGAATGGAACAGCTTGACAACTAGCTTCGTGTCGTTATATCTTTGCAAGTAACTCGGCTGATTCCAGTTAAATGGACTGATATAAGTAATATTTTCAGCTCTGAAGAAATGCATCACAAGTTTAATGTAAACCTAATGGCATGGGTGACCAACCATCTGAGTTAATTCTAGTCAATGAGATAGGTGGTAAAACGTGATTTTCACGTTAGAACATCAACAAAATACCTCCAATCTACCAGAATTACGCGTTGTGCAAGGTTATCTTATGATAGGTCAGAGGAAATAGTGGATGGAGCAACAGTATAATTCTTGGACAACAAGATGGATGATAGAACACAGCTTGATATACATTCCACTTACATATTTCTCAGAGCCGTCGAAGTTGCACTGGGAGTGAGTATCGAAGAAGAAGAAGAAGATTGACTTTCAGGACTTGGTGCAATGAACTCTCCCAATTCCTGCTTCACGCCATCAGCAAAATTGCGCACTCCTTCAACTAGACCAGCAAAGAGCGAAAGAGCCATATCCCGTTTGCGTAAGTGCTGTTGTGCCTCTGGTTGAGTACGAGCCTCAATTTCAATGGCACGCAGACGATCCTGCGCCTCAAAGAAGCGCTCTTTGTAGTGATTGCGCTGAAGGATTATACGAGCAATTTGGCGTTTGTCTATCAGTAGAGTATCATCACCACTAGCGGTATTGGAATTCTAAAATGAAAAAAAAAATTGACTAGTAGTCTATTTATTTCCCATCTAGTACAACAAAAAAAGAAAGAGTCGAGGAATTAGAAGTTGGAAATTTATCACTTTTGGGGGGAAGTGTAGTAGAAATTGGCTGAAAATGTCGGAGAGGCGTCAGCCTGG